CAGTGGCGTTAAGAAAAGTTATGTTTTGTAAAAACCATACTCCTTGTAGAGAGACTGCTTTGTTTGGTGGTGCGTAGTGAAAGTAATATAGTAACGTAACGAGTATGTAACTAGTTACTTTTATCAGAAGTAATGGGTAAAGTAATATTACTTTAATAGTTTTAATAAGTAACTAGTAACTTATTACAATTTCTGAGTATTTGCCCAACACTGGCAGACATTAACAACAGTTATAAAACACTAGGGTTACCACATGCTCATGAACTGGAAGATTCTATGATTTCCCCTTTTATTATACTCACACTGCAAATTACCAATGAGTTTTGTTTGAGTTCTTCAGAGGAGATATTAACTCTCTCTACAGCTATGACAGTGGAAGGTTTCTGGTATGAAATTAGTTCTCATAAATGCTGACCCAGATATTCATGTACAGGACCGGTCTTTTGTGTGCAGCTCAGTATATACCAGTTAAAATGGTCTTTGGGTGTAGGGCAATCTACCCACTAGCCAACTCATGTTTTGGCGTGCAAGGTCACAGCATGTCCAATGAAAGGTCTCAGTCCTACTGATTTAATAAACCAGATTCTGAGCTCTACCTGGTATGTAAACCATCTCCAATTAGAGAAGATGAGTGGAGAAAGTAAATCCTTCCAGGGACGAGTACATCTGTCAGTTGCTGGTAGATTTCAGCAGTGGCACCCGGTCACTCTTACATAATGTGATGGGTTTTGCTGTCACTGGTCTCACACACACACAATGCCTCTGTGCTGGAGTGGTCTCTCCCCCATTCAGCAGTGGATCTCGTAGGCGATCTGAGAGTCCATGAACAGACCTGTGTGATTAAGAAACATCCCTTCAGCCTCTGATGTGATCACAGGCTCGGCCTCCCCTCCCTCCCCCGCCATTCTTCTCATGGTCCGTATGTCGACCTCCTGCTGCTGTTGCTGCTGTTTATTGGGGCCAGAGTGGGACTCATGGGCTGGCCTGGCCCCGAGGAGAGGGTGTGGCTGGAGGTGTCAGATGGAGCAGTGCAACCCAGGTTCATGTTGGAGACAGCTGTGGGTGGTGCAGGAGGCAGCACAGGCTTGGCCCGGTTAAGGACATACATTTCATGGCCGCGCTCGTCACGGTACTCCTCCAGCTGGGCAAAGGTGGTGGGGCCATCAGAGTAGTCATTCACATACAGGATGCTCTCCTCCTGCAGGCAAAAATTCACTTGCATCACTTTTGGGGAACAGCAATATACAATATAATGAAAATATGAGATGTTTGACTGTACTGAAATATCAGTTTTATCAGTGGAAGTAAGATGTTAGTATGTATTATCATGTCATGTATGATAATATTTGCTAATCCATGATCCAATAACATGTACTATATGTTTATGTTTACTTATGTTTGTTTATGTCACCGTCCTATCCTGAGCTTGTCTGTGTTATATTTTTTGGCCATGCCTTCTCTGTGTTTTGATTTTGGTTTCTCTGTTTCTGGGTTTTGGCTCTTGATTCAGAGGTTTGGGTTTTGTATCTACTTTTTAGTTCTGTCATCTGTTGAGTTTAGTTCACTGTATGTTTACTTACTGATCTGTTTGGTATCTGTTATTTAGTCTGGGTTATTATTTATCTGGTTATTATCTGTCAGCTAGTGTTTAGTGGTGTGTTGGTATTTTCCTTGTTGAGTGTTGTCCTGTTTCCTGGTTGGTCCTGTCTCTGCTCCCTAAACCAGCCTGTGAAACAGTTGGTCCATGTTTTCTGTTTCCGAGTTTTGTTTCTTGTCTTGTGTTCATAGTTTATTTCATTGTTCTGTTTAGCTCACTTTTTACCTGTCTGTCTTGTATCTTCCAGGTTTAGAACCTGCATTTGAGTTCTGTGCCTTAGTTATGTCCTTGTACTTACTCATAGTTATGTGTTTGTGTATTTTGGTTTTGTCTGCTCTTGGTCCTATTTTATCTTAGCTTCAGTCTGTGTTCCTTGTTGGTGTTAGTTTATTTGATCTGTCAGCTTGTGTCTGGATTAGTTTGTTATTTTTATTATTCTGATCTGTTACTACTTATTTTGATATGACCTATGTTTAGTGTTCAGTAACTTGCGTCATGTCTGTTCCCCCTCAGTAATCTGCCTGCCAGTCTCTGTTTTCCCCTGCTGTCTATCTGCCTGCCTGTGAGTTTTGTCTTGCCTGGATTAAAAACCCTGGAACTGTATCTCAGCTCTGTGTTGTGCATTTGGGCTCTCTCGGGGCGGCTGTGGCTCAGGAGGTAGAGCGGGTTGGCCGTTAATCGGAAGGCGGTTCAATCGCTGGCTCAATCGCGGTTCAATCCCTGGCTCCCCCTGGTTGCGTGTCGAGGTGTCCTTGGGCAAGATACTGAACCCTGATTTTCCCCTGGCAGCTGTTCCGGCAGTGTATGTGTGACTGGTGAATGCGCTTTGAGTGGTCGAAAAGACTAGAAAGGCGCTATACAAATACGGAGCATTTACATCTTGTGCTTTGTGCACCCAGTTTTCTAGCCTTGTTTTAGCTGTATGTATATGTGGTTCTTCCTGTACATTCGATTTTGGCACTATGTACAAGAATATGAGCTAATGGAAACCTTTGTATGCTTAAACCTGTACTATATATTATACATGGGCATTAAAGTTCATTCTGTTTCAGGAAAACACTTTTTACAAAACACCACGTTTTAGAATTGTTCTGAAGTGGTTGAGTGGATTGGTTGAATCCTGTCTCACTGCATATTGATCTACCTAGATCAATTCATCCACCCAAACTTTGAAATTTGAATGAGCTCAGTGCCTGGAAATTTCACAGCGTCCTGCAGTTAAATGACAATGTAACTGAAGTTCTTGTCTTTGCCTCAGTCAGACCTCTGACATTTTACTCAGCACATAACTAACTCTTACTTTAAGTCCTTACACCCCTCCTGTGAGCTGCTGATCTCATACAGGTCCACCGGGCCTCTCAGGTCTTCAAAGCAACAGCTTCTGGTTGTCCCTCACTCAAAGACTTGTGGTGACTGAGCTTTTGCTGTCCTGGCTCCAGGTTATGGAGCAGCCTTCCTCTGTGGGTCAGGTCAGCAACTCTGCTGAGTGTTTTACACAAGACCTGTTCATTCTCAAAGGCATTTTACAGATGCTTCCTCACCTGTTCTGGTCTTATTTTCTTAAGTTCTTGCATGTCTTTGATTTAAATATTTATTCAATGTTTGTCATTGTCTTTTTTTTGTTTGGATTTTTGTTTTGTAACTGAAGCACTGCTTAGCCCTGCCTTCGAAAAGTGCTGATTAGAGTTTTATTTGCTTATTTAGGCTACATCCACACTACATTTTAGTTTAAAAATGGTGTTTTAAAACAAACTATCTTCATCCACATATCAAGCAAAGCATTAGTTCAGGCAGGCAACGAAGTCAAGCTCAGCTCACAATCCCAGTGCATCAGCAGATAGCAGGCCATGTCAAGTCAAGCCCACATCAGCGGACTGCTCAGCTGATTTCCCTCTAAGCATTCATTGGCAAAGCCAAGAGCAAAGAGACTGTGGTGGAAAACTGACTGTGAGTCCTTGCAAAGAAATTCAGCAACATGCACAAGTGTTATTTGCACAGTAGCCTACACAATATTTGAATAAAATACCAATAAATAAACAGTAGCATTGTGTTTTTGCTTTGCACTGATAACACCCAATGAAGAAGCCAAATGTAAGTGTCTGCATCATCGTTTTCAAAGTCCTCCATTTTAGCCTGTCTGCACTAAAATGCTACCCCGGAGGTTTAAAATGAAAACGGGCTCAGCAGTGTTTTCAGACTTCTCCATTTTAGGTCGGATTCGGATTCACCCTTTTTAATTCTGGACGGAAGGTGCAAACGATGCAAAAGTTCTGCGTTTTAAAACTCAAACGTAGTTGTGTGGATGTAGCTTTACTTACTGGTCTGTATGGTGGACATTTGAACGCAGCCAGGACTGACAGTGTTGTAGTTTGTACTGGCTGCCATTAGATGTCACTAAAGAGTCCATATTACTGATTGTTCTTTGAAATCTGTAAGATTTTTTTTTTCTCAGACTTTTAGAGACTCCTCCTAAGACCAGTTGTCAGAACATAGTTAATCCATCAGTTCCACAGAACCTTTATTAGAGTTTAAAATTAGAGGCAATGCCAAGCGTGACTAAAATACTTTTTATTTTGTTGCAAATTTTTAAAAATGTGCTTTTACTGCTATACAGACACACACCTTCTCAGCTCCATCAGCTTCTTTGTTTCGTTGGTGATGTCGGCTATAGATCATAGCGACCAGCAGCAGAGCGGTCAGAGCCAGCAGGGAGATGCCCACAGCGATGGCAGTCTGAGTGGCAGCTCCGAGAGCGCTGAAGGCCATGCTGCCCAGCGCGTACAGGGGCTCCCGACTTACATCTGAGCCCAAAGCAGGACCATGGCTCCTTAGACGAGGCCAGGCTGGGGAATATGGTGAGGACACCTGGGACCATGAGGCCCAGATGGAGGAGGAAGAGGTGGAAGTGGATGAGTTGATGGCAAGCTGAAAGGTCACCTTGGCCACGCCCCCTGCGTTCCAGGCTTCACACTCATAGAAACCTGCGTGAGCCACAGTCACATTACTGAGAAACAACATGCCACTGCCGGTGTCGGGGTCAAAGCGCTCGCCGTCAGTCTTCTGCAGATTGACTCTGCTTTCCTCTGAGGGCTCCTCTGCTCCGCCCACTCTTCCTCCTCCAGCACCCAGCTCCTGAACCAAGCCTCTCGGAGAAAGCACCACTTTACTCTGTGACGCCTTCCGCCAGGTCACCTGCAAAGGGATTCACCATTTCCTTATCAGAGGTCTTGCTAAGAAGGTTTTTATCACATAAATAATAAAAAAAATGGACTCATGTAACATCTTCTGTCAACCTGAATTGAACAGTCTGAGGAAATTGTAAAAAAAAATTCAAAGCTAAAAATTAACTGAAATAGCCGCATGTCATCATTCTGCCACTGGTGGTTGAGGTGGTGTCGATGTGGGCTTTGTAGATCATTGGTGGACTTTCTGGAGAAGACCTGTTTTGATTAGGAGAGACAGCACACTTTGGATGGAGCAGCTCTCAAATCTAGAAATCTAAAAGAGTTTATTAGTGGATGAAATCCATGAAAACCCAGAGCTGAGACCAGGGCGTAGAGTGGCAGTCCTACACCCTTTCTGTGCCTCCATTTGAGCAGTTAACCAGCCAAAACTTTATAGAGGAGCTGTGCATAAAAAAACACAAATTAACACCCCTGCTGCAAAAGTGCAACAAAATATAAGAATTAAATGTGGACTAATGTTAGCCTAAATGAATCCACTCCCCCAGTCACCTTAATACTCACATTCCTTGAGGCACCGGCTGAGGAGGTGGAGTTGCAGTCGACTCTAGCCTATTAATTCATTCTAAATTAAACTAACTCATTAGAAAGCCTTGCTCTTAATCGTTCACACCCAACATGGACACTATCCATGCCAGTAAACTGAGGAAGAAGGCTAGAAGCATTATCAGGGTTAGGGTTACATCCTGGCCACTTCTTGTCTGAACAGGTAAAAGATAACATCCTGCACCACCAGACTGAGGAACAGCTTCTTCCCCAGAGCTGTGTCCCCCATCATACCTCTCCATGCACAAGACAGAACAGATTACAGAAACTGTGAGCGCACACTACCTAATTCCCAGCAGTATTCTTGCCCTGCTGTCAGTTGGCTTTTTTTTCAGTCAGCAGAGCAGAGAGGCTGCGCAGGCGAAGGGAATCAGGTGAAGAATACTGACCACTGTAACTGTAAGTACGTTCATAAAAACCTTTAAGAGTAAAAGCCAATACCTACTCAATACAGCTGTCCAACAAGCAGGAACACGTTAACACGTAGAAGTGTATATTGTGTGGTGAGCCACATGAGACTGACAGGGGTGCAAAGGGTTAACCCTCCCCAGGTACTGAGTGAGTACCTTTTGGCCAAACAATGACTGCTGAGAATGGTGTGTTGAATTTCCCTATTATTGAGTGGACGTATCTTCAGCCAATCCGTGGCTGTCGGAAGTGGAAAAACGTCTCGGGTTACGTATGTAAGCCTTGTTCCCTGAGAAGGGGAACGAGACACTGCGTCAGTGACGCTATGGGAACGCCTCTTGGCGTGGCAGGGCTGAACATGAATGAAACTACTCCAGTCCTATTGGTGTTACTAGAACGGTAGCGTGTGACGGCGTTACTGGAGGCGTATATAAGCACGCCGGCACACCGGACACATTAGCCCTTTTGCTATGAACTGCATCGGTGACGACACTATGGGAACGAGATACCCACTTAGGCCGCGCCTGCTCCCCGCCTGCCCCCCCAGCATAACCCGTAGGCACGACTAAGAGGAGAGCGCACGGGTGCCGGGTGCAGAAGGAAGGTCCAGACTGTAAAACCGGATGAAAGTGTGAGGAGTGGCCCAGCCAGCTGCCTCACACAAATCCTGGAGCGAAGCCCCTACGAGGAGGGCCCTAGAGGCCACCATGCCTCGAGTAGAGTGCGCCCTTACGGCCATAGGTGAAGGTAACCCGCGCACCTGATAGGTCAGGGAAATAGTCTGAACAATCCAGTTGCTGATCGTGTGTTTGGAAGCGGGGAGCCCAGCCTTGGGGGACCCGAAACACACCAGCAACAGGTCTGCTTTCCTCCACCGGGAGGACCTCAGAGTGTAAATACTCAGTGCTCTGACTGGGCAGAGCAGATGAAGTCTCCCATCCTCCGCCGTCACATGAGGTGGGGGATGAAACGCCTGCAGCACCGTAGGCCCTGCCAACCTGGACGGAACCTTAGGGACATAGCCCGGACAGGGGTGCAGGATGGCTCTGACCCTCCCCGACGAAAATTCCAGGCATTGAGGAGAAACCGAAAGGAGAAAGGCCATCTTAAGGGTCAGGTGCTTGGCCTCAGCCAACTCCAGGGGTTCGAAGGGGGCCTCAGCCAGCGCTTCGAGGACCACCGCCAGGTCCCAAGTGGGAACCCTGGAACGAGTCTCATGGCTCATACTTCGAGCAGGAGAAGCCGCAAAGCGGGCTCCCGAATGGGACAGAGGGGTGTCGGAGTCAGCAGAGGAGTCGGCAATCCTGATGCCGACTGAGATGTCACGCTGGGAGCCCCATGACCGAAGCTGCCGCGCCGCCTCAGCGACCGCCAGGCCCGATTGGAGTAGTTTCATTCATGATTTAAGCCCTGCCACGCCCAGAGGCGTTCCCATAGTGTGGTCACCGACGCAGTTCGAGTTCCCTCGAAGGGGAACTAGGAAGGGTGCGTGGGAGGAGGCGGGTAAGGCCGCGGAGACTAGGAAGAGAAAAACGTGGTAGTAAACGGAGGAGTCCAGCAGAAGTTCGACTGGGAAGTTAATGTTTTGTTCTAACGAGTTCTACAAGTGGGTTGCAGCTGCCGGGCGGAGCTGTGTGAGTTCCTGCTTCTGTCAAGTCTCGAGGATCGGCCGACGATGTGACTGTACACCGGGGCTGTGAGGGCGGTATTGTCTGAAGTTCTGTGCGGCCAGCTTGGATGTTGTTCTTCCTCTCCTCTCCCGCCTCCCTCCCGTGAGTATCCTCTGCCACTAGACTTCATCCACATCGATACAAGGCTTGAGGAGAAACAATCTTAATTTGTGGAATAGATACTGTTGATTGATTAAAGGAGCCAAAATTCACGGACTTTTATTAATGGCATCCATCTTAATTAGGTTGAAAGGACACTGTTTATCGTTGGGCTGAAAATCCTCACTGATTGTGTTAAGTTTGATTGTGCAACCCATCTGTGAAGCACTGTTTTGTTTATTGCTGTAGAAAGAGGTTGAAATAATTGTAAATATTCTGGTACGCCAAAGAGTCAAAAGTTGAGGTGCTGGTGTTCTGACGATCTATGCTGCCTTCTCGAAAAATCCTACCAAAGCGCAAATCGACAGCAGAGTCTATCGAGTCGCTATGCCCTATCGAAAAATCAACAGATCACGATCATCGACAGAACACCTGTACAGGCCACTTCAAGCACTCACTTAAGTTGTGGAGAACATCACCAAATTCGATGGCGGTGGTTCACTTTCCTCAAACATTTGACGCATCTAGTAGGGCTGGCCGGTATATGAGGTATACCGGTATAATTTCAAAAGAGATATGAAATTAGACAATACCGTTTATACCGATATAGTTTGTTTCTGTAAAATCCTGCCAGGGTTTGCTCCTCGCTCTCCCTCACCGTGCAGCCCTGCCCCTCCCCCTGCATCTGCAGGCAGCCCTCTACTCTCAATATAGAGGGAGACACAGTACTGGTCAACACTGTGAAAGACCTGGCTTGTAAAGAGAAAAACATGGTTCATTCAGTGTTTCCCACACATACTTTACTTCGGCGGGTCGCCCAGGTTAGGCATAAATTGTAGCATTTATCAGAGAAACACAGTGATTACGTTACAAGTCGCGACACTGTGGATGTTTTACAAGAGCGGACCAGGTAAAGCGACAGTGAACACACCAGTCACATGTTATTCATTAGTGGCCACGTTGGTTTTGTTCTCATAGACTACGTCGTCAACACATGTCCAGAAGACAAGTTCTGTTTTTTTTTTCGGTGACTTCATACAGCCTAGCCTACTACTGATGGAGAAAGTCACCGAAGCGGACATACAGGGAGAGAGAGAGACGGTAAAGCCCCTTTTCCACTGCATGGTACCAGCTACTACCAGGTACTTTTTTCTTATCACCGCCATCTTATCTGTCGTTACATTCTGAGTAATATTGAAACATTTAAACTTAAATCAAGAGACAGCTGTTTGTGTGTCGTTGGTGTGTGTGTCGCATTGAACATTACGTCGCGGCAGTTGTGCAGCTGGTACTTTTAATGGAAAAACGGCAGAAGAAGAGGGGGAACGCTGACGTGTTTGCAGCAACGGTACATTAGTTATTCAAATTGTCATTGCCTTATTGTCAATGGGCTAAAAACTCACTTAGAAATGAAGCACACGCCTGTTTTGTCTGTTGCTTGCATCAGCCACTATTCTGCTTTTAATGAGAGATCTCCGGGTCGGATTCAGCCCTGTGAGCGCTCCCGAGCCTCTCTCGTGCTACAGCAACAACACGGCAGCCAACGACATGCAGTCCACTAACACCATAAAACAACCAGCTCACAGCAAAACACAGGCTCCACGTAAGGATCCGAAACAACAATAAAGGTTTATGTGCTGAAGCCCATCAGACCAAACAGGTTCAGATGATGTCGAGTAAGAACAAAGTGAGCATTAGTAAAGCTGGAGAAACACAGAGAAAGTCATGTTAGCGTGACAGCTAACGCCGAGCAGTTGCATATGTTATCCGGTGCAAAGTTATATAACGTTAGCTTTCCACATTACTTTAGCTGTTAATCGGAAGGTCGGTGGTTCAATTCCTGGCTCCCCCTGGTTGCATGTCGAAGTGTCCCTGGGCAAGATACTGAACCCCGAATTGCATGAGTGAGTGTGAATGTTAGTTTCCGTTTGAGCACTTAGGCTCAGTGTATGAATGTGTATGACAGGTGAATGCAGATGTAGTGTAAAAGCGCTTTGAGTGGTCGAAAAGACTAGAAAGGCGCTATACAAGTACGGAGCATTTACATTTAACTAAACAGTGTTCCCCACCACCATCATCAAAACACCAAGTCACGGAATATCTTTTGGAAGAATGTTACGCGATCCTTCGGTAGTGTTCCACACATCTGGAGAATCTACAACAAGAAGCAATGAAGCTGCTCTGGACTGGAGGTTCATGGTGGAACAACACCTTACCTAACCCAACACCTTAACTACACTACAATGGCTTTAAAATGTTAAAACCATTTGAAAATCACTATTCTTAAAAATCGATTCGGGCACAACCATCACATAATGACATGGAAACTGCTGCTAGACTATTTTGGACTGGATGTTCTGGAAATTGCTAAACGTTATACTTATTCACATTAAGTATTCCTACCTGTGGTCGAGGGTAACCAGATGCATGGCAGGACACCCTGAGGCTCTCTCCCAGGCGCACAGCTAGCCTTCTGGGCTCCAGCTGCACCAGTGGAGGGATACACACCAGGCTATTGAGAGGGACCTCCACCAGGCTAAGGTGGGAGAGGCGAGGTGGCTCAGTGCAGACCAGCCGACGTTCTGCAGAGCTGAGCAGTCGCTGACCCTCCTCATCAATCCAGCTCCTTAGCCAGTGGAGAGCACAGTCACAGCGCCAGGGGTTGTCTACAGCAGAGCAGTGGACAGGAGGTTATGTGCTGAACCAGTTGAGGTCCTAGCCATTTGTGGTGGTAGGAAGAAGACATTTCAGTGTACTGAAAAACAATGTTTTGTGAAGAGCAAATAAGGTATTTCTAAGGTGTATATAAGGATTTGACAGGAGGGTTATGAATGGTTTTGGACTGACTTTTGTAAAAAACAAGGACACTGCACTGACTGGATTAAAGATTTGGGAGTAACCATGCAAAAAGAGGTACAGGAATAACCAGGGGCTTCATGTATAAAAGTCTGCACAGCTTTCATACTAAAAGATGGCATAGTCACAAAAGTACATACGCACAGAAATATCCACATGTATAAAACCAGGCGTACGCCAGGTCCTGCGCACCTTTCCTTTTATACATCCCAATCAATGTGAAACTGAGAACACATGCATGAGCAACATACCCCGTCTCGGCTCCTCCCATAAATTGCTATGCAAATGACCATAACTACGCTAACATCACCTCCTAGGTCTAAATAACAACTGAAAAATATGTGAAAAAGAGAAACTTCGCTGAGTGCGAGATCGAGGTGCTGATCACTGAAGTGGAAGGGAGAATAAATATTTAGCTGTCCTTTCCTAACTTTAATTTACACAGTCCATATGTGCAGGTGGTGAAGATGTTTGTGCTCCACAGCGGTGGTCGTGTGGTGATATATGCACAGAGGATATTATTAAAAACTAGTGATGCTCTCTTCTGGAAATCTTTAATGCTATTTTCTTTTATCTTGGATTTTTAAGATGATGATGAAGATGATGATAACACTTCCATCAGTTAGCCGAATCTGAAAAGGAGTCTGTAGCTAAATTTACGTCTAATATCGGGGAAAGGCGGGCCTGCTTTCTGCCTCCTGACAATATCCTGGCTTTATGCTGACCGTTCATAAACTGCTCCACAACTGACTGTGAGTATCCGTTGCATACAGTACGGCCCTCCCCTCTGCGCTCTGGGGGGGCTGAAATATTGAGCGGACATTGATTTGAGTTAGCACTTGGCTTCTATCATTTACAATTGAAAAGTGCAATATGGCTCAAATCATCCTTATCTTACATTCATTTTTATTTTGTATCAGAGAACTCCTTCATAGACGTTGCTCAGAAACTGGAGTGGAAACGCTATTTTAAGACATTTGGTTTCAGTACTTTGGAGTTTACTGACAGAGCCAGACAAAAGTTTGTGGACGGTCCGCACATTCTCACATTATGTTTGTGTTCATACATCAAACGTGCTCGTGAAAACCATGTAACCCTTTTATGCGTAGGCAGCGTTTATACATGAGGCCGCCGCTCCTTTATACCTCAGTGTATGTGATTCTGCAAAAACAGCAGTTTGACTGTCAGTTGTTCTCAAGTTTTCCTCAGGACCAACCCTAATGTTTTCACATTTAAGATGTATGTCAGTAATACAGTCTCACCTGTGATGCGCAGCACCTGCAGGCTGACCAGAGGTCGCAGAGATGCAGGGCCAATGGTGTGAAGATTATTCCTACTCAGGTCCAGCAGAGCCAGAGAAGTCAAACCAACTAGAGCCTGGTCTGCTAACATCTCTATACTGTTGTGCTGCAAATGGAGCTCCTGTAGACGCTGTAGAGACATTTAGGTTCCGTGTTATTGTCATTATACAATACGGGATTCACATTAAAATGCAGTTGTAGCCCCTTGATGACACACGCACACACACACACACACACACACACACACACACACACACACACACACACAGTATACACATTCAAATATTTAAATTAGAATACGAATAGAAACAATAAATAGGCAATAAAATTTAACTAACTATAAAAGTCGCACTAAAAGAAGAAATATAAAGGAAAACAAAATTATATTTATAAGGAAAATATTATGATGTGTTTTCCCGTGATAACGGGATAATTTTCTGGTGATCTTGAGATAACAAAACATAAGTGGACGGCAGGTGCATTTGTTTACAATAATTTCATAGAACTTTATAATCTTAGTTATCTCAGTTGGTAGAGCACTGGATTTGTAATCCAAGGATTGTGTGTTCAACTCCCACTCTCAATGATTTTTTTTCTTCTTGTGTGTGGTTTTTTTATCATCCTCTTCAACAAAGTTGTTCTGAAGAGATTCAGGGGAATCCAATCACACATTTCCCGATAGCTATTTCAAAACCTTTAAAATAGCCGTCAGGAAATGTGTAACATTAAATGGCTTTCCCTGAATGAGATGCGCAGGAATTTCCACTGCTTGGGAATGATGGGTGAATGAAAAGTCCAAAGGTGGATGGATGTGGACAGTCGCCGGGACGCACACAGTCCAGTACGCTCTTTGAAACACACTCTTTGTTGAAGAGGATTATAAAAAAGAAAAACACCTTTGTTGTCACGGGATAACAGAGTTAGTAAAATATTTGAATGGATGGCTGCTTAGGGCTTCCTTACTTATATACATACATGCGAAACATTTATACTATATGTGAAATATAGAGTTCTATGTCATTTATTTATGGTGCGGTGTTGAGGATGAATTTAGGATTCTCTCAGCTTGAGGAAAGAAGCTGCTCTGCAGTCTGGTGGAAACACTATATCTTTTTCCAGACAGTAGCAGGGTGAACAGGCTGTGGCTGGGGTGGTACTGTCCCTATGTAGGCACCTCATATCACTGATGCTGGCAGATGTATACCAATGATGTCTGTGCACATCCCATGCCAGTTGGTGATGTTTCCAGTCAGGATGCTTTCTATTGTTCCTCTGTAAAAGCTGACAAGAACTTGGTGTGGAACTTGGCCTTCTTAAGCTTCCTCAAGAAATCCAGTCGTTTCTGAGCTTTCTTCACCAGCGTGTAGATGTGAGATGACCATGTCAGGTTCTCTTTGATGCTGATTCCCAGGAACCTGAAACTGTTCACCTGCTCCACCTCAGCACCACTGACGTAGACAGTATACCCTTTTTCCTGAAATCAATGATCAGCTCCTTGGTTTTGCTGATGTTGAGCAGCAGGTTGTTCTCTGAGCACCACTTTGCAAGACATTTCCTCCCAAAATGAAGTCTCATCCTTGTTTGAAATCTGGCCGATGATGGTGATGTCATCTACAAACTTCACAACAGAGTTCTCTCCATTCCTGCATTGCGGTCGTATGTGTACAGCGTGAACAGGAGGAGGCTGAGCACACAGCCCTGGGGGGCTCCCGTGTTGAGCACTAGAGTGGAGGTGGTAAGTCTGCCAATCTGAACTGACTGGGGTCTGTTTGTGAGACTATTTAAACCCAGAGTGCTGGGTTTGCTGATCAGTTTCATGGGGAGATTGTGTTGAATGCTGAGCTGAAATTCACAAACAACATTCTGATGTAGGTGTTGTTTTTCTCAAGGTGTGTGAGGGCTGAGTGGAGGACAGTGGTGATGGCATCCCCTGTGGATCTGTTGGTTCTGAAAGCTGACTTTGTCAAAGCTAGGGTTGCAAAGGATCGGTACATTTCTGGAAGAAAAAATAAGCTCTGGAATTTTGCACAATTTCATTATAATAAATTGTATTTGCTAGGAAAAAAACATAAAAAAGCAATAAGGTCTTAAGGCATGATGGGTTAAAAGTATGACCCTTTAGTTGAACTAGTGCAGCCATGGCCGTTCTGAATGAGAGGCTGTTTGGAACCAAACCTCCTGATTTTCCTGGGAGACTCCTGTTTTTCATTGCTATTTATGAGAGAGTCACAATTCTCCTGTATTCTCCCCTTTCTGGTAGTCTTGTGCTTTCTCGTCCCTCTCCTCTCTCCTCCTATCACTTCCTGCAGGTGTTTCTGGCTCTGGAGCTGTGGAGTCTGGATCTGTGGCTGCGGGTCACCTGCTGCCCCTGTGTTCCTGCTCAACACCCTCTGCTACAACTATTGTTACTAGTCCTATTGTTATTATTGTTATTATAATCATTAACATTACGATTATTATCATTAACACTACTATAAATATCTGTACCATTTTTCATTTAGTCTATCGCAACATCACCTTTACACTCTCTCTCTCTCTCTCTCTGTCTCTCTCTGTCTGTCTGCGTTAATGAATATACATTTTGGGGCATAACATGCAAATGCATTTAGTTACTACACGCAATGTGATCTACCAAGCCTAAATGCAATTTCACGTGAGAACAACAGCTTCTGTTTTTAATATGTCTGAAGGAAGGTGCAAACCACCAAGTGTTGTGCAGAGATGGCTTCTGTTATTGTTGCCAGAAGAAGACACAGCCATAATGAAAGAAAACATAGAGAAATAAGCAATATTAGATAATATTAGTCTATATCCAATGTAAATACAATTCTTTTATTTATTCGATTAACTATATGAATAGAATTTGTTTTTGTATTTTCCTTTAGCTTTGACAATACTGTTGTATTAACATTACTGCCAAATAAAGCAAATTTCGTTTGGACCCGACTTCTTCTCTCCGTGAGATGGAGGAGTTTATAAAGTTGCGTTTGCGCTGGAGAGCCCCCAGCTGCAGTAGTGCACAGACCACATGTAAAATTCATCCAGCCAGAGGGAGCGATCACAGCGCGCTGGTCTTAATAGCGACACAACCCATTGTAGGTATGGGAGAGGGAATGGGGTGTACAGGGCCAAGCACAGGAGATAGCAAAGCGACTGGGCACGGTGCGGACGGTCAGTGATTGTTCCCTCTGGCATTTCCTCGCGTCTGGTTCATTCCACCATACTGTATATGTTTCTGCTGGGGTTTCCCAAAGCAGTTTTTTCCAGGTGTGCTGTCTCAAGTGCTTAGTGCAGTCTCAGGCAGGATGGGCAGGTACAGACGATTTCCACATACTCAGGACACACTGAACGAAACAAACCAAAGGTTTTTATGCTGCATCCCCCTCCACTTTCTATGGCGGAAACCATTAAAACACGGAAAACTCATTTGAATACTCCCTCCTCCATTGTGTTTACTCCTGTTGTCATCTATGCAATAATTCTTATTAAATCACCCATAACAGGTACTAAAACTGCACGTGTAATATTTTAGAATGCACGCAAAGCGACAGACATACTTTGTTTTTCAATTTCTCCTCTGTTGAACAAAAGTTACTATAATGTGTTGGGCCTCACATCCATGACAACAAAAATGGGCCTTCAGGTCAATGAGGATCCTGTCTGTAAGTCCGTAGACAAAGGACAAGCTAGAGAACAAAGACTGGGCCTTGTGACATCCTGCAGACCTGTTGGAGTCCCAAAAGAGTTGAGTTTTCTCAAAGAAAGGACTGTAAAACAGGCGCCAAAACCCGCTTCACACCTAGGTGCAAAATAGTGACTCTGACCTAAAATGCGCTTGTAATCTTGCAGGTCGCTCTGGTGACACAGCCGGCGCGCCCCCCTCAGGTATAAGTAGGCCTGAGCACAGCCAGCACATTGTCTTTCCACAGCTGTGCGAGCGGTGATATGAGACAACTTTCTCAGCGCTGAACTTTGTTCTGAATACAGATTTCACTCGCTGGACGTGCAACTCTGTTTTTTCTACCTCTACACAATTTTGGATACCTAAAGAAACTGTCACAGAAGATAACGTTTCCTTCCTGCAGAAGAAGGCGGATAAACTCTGCTTAACTGAGAAGATCACCTCCGTGTTCTACCTTCTCAACCTAAGTCAACTTTGCTGATTCCTTTTGCTGCCGCCAAAGAATCAGCTGTGCTGTTGAAACTACCAGCATCATCAGAACCGAGCCGAGAGAAAACTCCGCTGGATTTCCTAAAAGGACTGACGCATCTACTCGCTACCAAAGCGACACGTAAGAGGCTTCAGTATGTCTGGGCAGTTCTATAACTTTTTTTATTGTAACTCGTACAAGCTTCATGTGGTGAGTTTCTGTTAAGAAACTCCAAAGCGATATTTAAAGCACGTTGTTGTGTCCGGTACCACTCTCTGGGCTGCGACTGCTTTGTTCCTATTACTGTGTGAAAACATATCAGTATTTTTATCAAGCCAGGGAACACGGTTGCTGAATGAAAGTTCACTACCATCCCTCTCATTGATAAAGTTGTAGCTGAGTGTTTTCAAATGTAATAAGGATTTCTGGTGTTGGCTTCTTTCTGAGAACAGATACAATTGCACATTCTATCCAATCCAAAGCCAGCAACCGCTGCTGAATGAATCATTCACTGCTGGTGGCTGTAGGATAGACTGGTTTATTGTATATAGCTTTCTCTGTGCCTTTCTCTCCTCCTTCTGCTTACTAACCCCACATGCACACACCACGTGATCTCTGAAGCTAACCTGACCTGTGACCCACAGCGGGCTAGCATCAGAGGTCTCCAATATTTTTTTAGTTCAGGGTTAGAGTGATTTTCCACCATCTCGATCTTGAAATCACATGGTTTGAACCGGCATCTTGATTCCAAAATCAGCTGGCCTCTAGCCCGATTCTGAACCGGATCTGACCACGTGGGTGGTCTGATCCACCCCCCTCTCTTAAGCTTGATTTATACTCCTGCGTAGGGTCTACGTGCGTAGCTACACCGTAGGCCAAACACGTAGCCAGGCATTTATACTTGTGTGTCCGTCAATCTGCAATTACACCCCAAATGCTAGTCGGCAGTAGCGCTACTGCGTCCATTGTGTTGACTTTTGCCGGCCGAGCAGGCTAACTTCTGGTTTAGCGCTCCCCTAACGTAAATGGAGGTAAACTTGTAAACGTGCGACTGGTGTAGCCTTTTCAAATGTTATCGACTGAATGGATCACATTTTGATAGTGAAACGAGTCATTTAGCCCAGGTTGTGACAGTCAAATATATTGATCCACCATGTTACAGCCATATTGGCCACTAGTAAAAGTTACTTCAAAGCACGGGCACTTCCTGTCGGCTCGGAGGCATTGCAAGGCTACCCAGCCGACCAATCACAGAGCTTATGGTCCGCGTCGCCTCTCATTTTTGAGGAGGCTCACGTCAGGCTACTCCGTAGTTGACGGCGTGGGGTAGGGGGCTACGCAGAGGCTACGCCGTCAATTTGATGCAGAAGTATAAATTGCACTTCAGACTCTCCCCCTCCTTTGTCTCTCACTCACACCCACACACGCACACACATGCTGGATTGTTTTATGATTTGTTTATTGACTTTATTTCATTTTTGCTTAGAATAGCTAATAGTGATTTACTTGCTAAAGTTATTGATCATTGATCTATGCTTGAGTTGAAAAAATCCTATTATAAATTTAAGAGTTTGTTGCCACGGCCAGTGTGCAGATTCACCCTTCTCTGTTTGCCATTAGTAGGTGGACAAACCTTATTTTAGACTGATCATACTTGGCTCATATTTGGTTATTGGTCCCTGATTCCAGGGTGGTCCCCCGTGTTTATTAATTATAATTAATAATTTTGAATATTAATATTTTATAATATTTATAGAATATCTTTGATATTCAGCTAATAACCAAACCTCACCATATGTTGACAACCCCCAACATATCTGGTGCCCCGTGTGAGGCCGTCTAAATACCAATATTATTGCAACAATTATGCATTTTTTCCCCTCTTTATTCAGTTGTGTTGTGGAATTTTTGTTTTTGTTGTGCACCAGTGGATAGTAATTGCATTTTTTGGCACACTTTTGTTTTATTAAGGGCTCTTAAATCCGCTAGGTACCCTCCAGGGAGCTAGTTATTGACAAACTAATCTGTAAGCTAGAGTGACGCCACTCAAATTGTTGTTGATAAAGGGCTCTTAAAGCCGCTTTTCGACCAAAGGTATCGGGGACTTTTAAGTCCCCAGATCTCTTTTAAAAGGAACTAAAAGGTTCCTTCAGCCCACTGTTATGTGCGTTTCCACCGTGGTCTAAAGACCATACAAAGCGATGCACAGGCATCATTATTTGTAACCACTATCCATGAGCAACATTTATAAATGAACATCAGATTTTACTGGAATATAATGAAACTATAGGCTTTACTTGACCATTAAAGCAGCTTTTTTTATGCGGGAGCTATAATGAAGAGACACACAATAAAGTTCTTTACACCTTTAGGCTATTGATAGCCAAACAAACTGGATCACGCCATAAAACTTACAATAACTCCAGCACAGAGAAAGCAACACAAAAATAAAATCGCGACAGTTTGGAAGGTTATTAAAACACTTCCAGCCTACCTATATTTAATGCCAATGTATGATCTCAGGTGGACATCGGCGAGACTCCTGTGGCTATTTGACTGTTGATTGTGATTTATTGGTTTGCAAACAAAGGTGGAAAAGAGAGGAGCAGTCGTAGAAAAACAGCAGACATTCTCCAGTTAAAGCCATTTAAATGCAAGGCATGCCCTGAAGTACCGGTACTTTCGGAAAGTACTACCCCCCCCCAAGCAGGGACTTTTTGGGGGGTAAAATGAACCCCAGAACTACATTTAGACCCTGGTCCCTCCAGTGGAAAAACAGTGAGTTCCTCCAAAGGTACATACTATTGGACGCTGCATGGACATATGCCGCCATCTTGGTGAAATGTATGTGGAAGGAATGGTGCATATCATCTGTGGAGCTTCATATAGGAAGAAAGAAAAATGCTGCCCTGAGCAGGAAATTTAGAAAGCACCTTGCATATGGCTGTACAGAGTTGTATGTATTTGTGAAAGTGAAATGTCAAAAGATCAAACAAGTGCTCTAACATGCCTTACCTGTAAGCCACGGAAGGTGTAGTCCAGCAGGCGTGTGATGTCATTTCCTGCCAGATAGAGAATGCGGAGATGTTCAAGTCCCTGAAACATGTCAGCTGTCACTAGGTGGATCCTGTTCCCGTTCAGAGCCAGCTCCAACAACTGACCCTGGTTCTGGAAAGAGCCAGGCTCCACTGCTGAAATGGTGTTGTTCTGGAGGAGAACCAAGCATCCAAGGTGAAAAACTAACTAAGGAACTGCTGCTTTGGTACTGTTTTTTAATCATTTGCTGTTGGAACAGGTATCTGACATGGTTCCATCTTGGTTAGAATACATTTTTCATTACTAGTCTGTTTCCAGGTGTTGGGGAGTACTACTGCATATGTGAAAAAATACTTTTTGTCCAGAGGGAGCTGTGTGAGGTCTGATAAATTACCTTAAATTATTATTTTTTTTTAATATATTTTTTTATTATCAGGATAAACTCTTTTGTATGGTTTCTTAAAGTGTGTAAGTTTTAGTGACATGTAGTGGTGAGGGTTGTAAACTGCAACCAGTGGTTCACGGTACTTCAGTGTGTGTTCATGTGCTCTTACGTCAGAATGTGGAATCACAAGTGGACACTACTACAAAGATGTGTTGGATTAGCATTATCAGAGCATGTAAATGACACGCAGACATCCCTATACATACTTGTATACTTCTTTATGTCCCATGTATACTTTATTTCTCTTTTTGTAATAAAGATTTATATTCAGATTATTCCAAAACTACATGAATGGTGCTCAGCCCACCCTTTCCCATGTGGCCGACACGTTCTGTTGGCTATTGTGCTAATTTTTCTTCTTTTCTTACGTTTAATAAACCAGACGACTACTACCACTACTACTACTACTACATCTACACCACTACTGTTACTTCTTCTTGTTCTTGTTCTGTGTACGTATTCAACACAGTGATGAAACACGCTCTGTAGAGCCATTTGTCCGTTTGGTGCAAGTTGACGACGTCCATTTAAGGGGACCCGCGGCATATGTAGATAGATATGGCTCATTCTAAGGTAATAAAAACATAATGGTTCATTACACCACAAACACCACTATGTGTGTGTTTGTCACCTGCAAGTACAAGTAGTGCAGGTGCCTCAGCAGAGCGAGGTCCCGTCGATGGATCTGACCAATCACATTGTCCTGGAGGAAGATGGTCTGGATGGAGAGAAGACAAGATAAAGAGGTACAAAGGGAGAGTTTAGGTCAGAACTGGTATATTTTTCAAAGAACTATGACAGTGATCTGTGTATCGTTGGTTCTTTAATTCTTGGATCAGTTAAGATTGATGTTTAGTACAATGAACCAACCTGTGTGGATGGAGGAATGTGTTTGGGGGTGTCCCTCAGGCCGGTGGAGCCACACTCCACCGTGAGGCTGTAGCAGCGACAGCTCACAGGGCAGGATGGAGATGCTCGACCAGGTGTGTGGAGGGACAATAGGAGCACCGAGTGGAGAAGTACCAACAGCACAGCCATCACACCAGACAGACAGCACTGAGAATGAGGAGAGTACAAACACAGACCAATCATGATGAACACTCTGCATTAACAACTGAGCTTAGCGTTTTAACTGACGGGGCCAAACAACAAGCAGAGTGTTCAATCCAAACAAAAGTTCATGTAATCATGAAAGCAAGCATTAGTATGGCAGCTCAGAGGGGAAATGGTCAGTCCCACTTACAAAAACATAGCCTGACAACTATGTATGTATATTGAATGAGGTTGACTACTCAATTTATCAATGCATGGATTAGTTACAGATGTTGGACAAGTTGGCAAACAGCACATTTGGGTTACCTCTGAGGTCTTGAGTCTTAAAGAGGTGGTATTCTGCTCATTTTCAGGTTCAAAATCCTATTTAGGGGTTGTACCAGAACAGGTTTACATGGTTAAATAACAGAAAAACACCATATTTTTGTCATACTGCACATTGCTGCAGCTCCTCTTTTCACCCTGGCTTTGTTTTAGCTATGGAGTGTCTCTAAATGATCTTTGTTGGGAGTTGCACATGCGCAGTTCCTAGTTAAGGACTACTAGCCAATCAGAAGCAGAGAAAGGCGGGTCAGCGAAAAGACGGTAAACAGCTTTGATTCAGCTGTAGGCTACATGTTGCCGACCAGGTTGCTAATTTGGACTGGAGCAAGAGTTTCAGAGTGGTGAGTTATTAATCTGTAACAAAAGTATCTTTCATCCATAAAGTTTTAACTGAGCTCTGTCTCTACATCACAGTAACAACTTTATGTCCACTGACTGCCTGGAGGGTAGCTAGTGTTTGGAAGCGCGAGAACGTGTGTGCTGCAGCTCAGTGTTTTTCCACTGTGTTTTTGAGGGCGTGTCGGACTAGTCGCTCAGCGACCATTATGACACGTATTTTCATTGTGACGTCACAAGAAAGGGAAGTAAAGGCTGGACGAGCTGTTTGTAGTCTACACAGAGCAGAGTTTTCTGTGGGAGATGTGGGAACTCCCTTTGGGCTGGACTTTGGGCTTTTTCACTTTGCAAACCTAGTACATGCACAAAAAAGAGATATAACTCAATAAAGGAGAGGGGGAAAGCCAAAAACCATAATACCACCTCTTTACAACAATTCAGAGCAGTACATAATATTTATAACGAGAGCTGCTCAGTCTCTAAAGGTGCTTTCACACTGCTTTATTTTCTGGGATTATTATGACCATATTCCCAAGTGGGCTGAGGACCACGCATAATCGGACAGATTTTTTTCCCTTTTCCTTGGTCCGTAAGCCGTAAACATTCTGTAAATGAAATTCACAGGGCTGGTATTCGTAGTTTTTACACAACGTCACATTCCAAAGAAAACGCTCCCTTGGACGTTATTTTCCCGTTGCCTGCCAACCAATATGCAAGTGATACACTGTTACTTTGAGTTTGTTACTTTTGCGTTGCCAAAATGCTGGATGGTTGTTGTTCCTTCAGATTTACTAATCAAGGAGGAGATAAGCCTGAGCTGTGTTAGGTGAGGGATTCCCCAGAAATTAAAAGTAAACATTACCGCGGTCTGAGCGGCGGCAGGGACCTGGCATTTTTTAACGGTAGAAATGCGGCAGCGGATGCTGTAACGTTATACGGATCGGACTTATTCAGAGTTATTAAAAGAATTTTCATTCTCCAAAAAATGCACAAGTTATAGAATAGAATACCACTTTATTGTCCAGCCAAGGATGGAAAATTGTCTTTGGTCTCACCAGACCTGTAAAAACATCACTATACATACATGAACATAAATAAACATACCAACATCATATCACATTGGTACCGTACATCTCTCCGCCCATCACATCACATCATTGCAGTTTATCCCATACACACCGTGTACAATATACCTTCTGTACAGAAATATACCAATTAGTGCAGTTTATTCATTAAATTTATTGCACTAGGTATAAAAGATCGCTTATAGATATTCCTGTTTGCCAGAGGCACTCTGTATCGTCGTCCTGAAGTAACAAATGAAGTAACAACTTCCTGTATGCTACAGTCAAAACATGAATGTGATGTCATATCTCTGCGTAGGCCTGTCCAATTAACACAAACCTTGGGTTACTACGTTACCATGTCCCACAGAGGCTTTACACAAACTTTGGTACCAATTGGCCACTAGGTGGCACTAAAAAACGAAGCAATTTCATATCTCCACATTAGGGCTGGCCATTATATTATTATAACTCATATCAAAAGACATTAGCGTTTATACCGATATAGTTTGATATTGAGTTAATTAATATATTTCCGTAAAGTCCTGCCAGCGTATGCTCCTCTCTCTCCCTCTCCCTGCCCCTTTTCCACTGCACGGTACCAGCTCAACTTTTTTTGGTTTTCCATTGTGTAAAAGTTGTACTTGTACCTGCTACCAGGTACTTTTTTTCTTATCACCTCCGTCTTATCTGTCTTTACATTCTGAGTAATGTTGAAATGTTTTAACTTAAATCAAGAGACCGGTGTTATGTGTGTCGTTGCTATGACGACCAGCTACATTGAGGGGTACTATCTCTGGGTACTATCTGCAATGGAAAACGGAGCACAGCCGAACCGAGTCGAGTTGCAACTTCGACTACTTTAATAAACCTTACACCCCTACTCCACATCGGTATGTCCAATTAACACGAAACTGGTGCCAGTAGTTTCCCCTGCCACCCTGAGGTTGTGCAAAAACATTAGTGCCAATTGGCCACTAGGTGGTGCTCTTGTTGAAAACTCATGAATACTTGTATGAATATTATTTTCGGTAATTGCTTTTAAATAGACTGGTGTGGTGAAGAATCATGCACACACAGCAGACACCAAAATTTGACCTGTAATCAAGGTTAGTGTGTTTTGGCTCGTAACTCCACAGAACCACATATTATCTTTCACATTCAAAAACCTTATATGCCTATGTTCCCTGAATGTAGCTGCATCTCAGAATATATACACTGTTAACCCAAAAGTTCAATCTATGCAAACAGTTTGAGTAAATACCACTTTTAAAGATTAGTTTTATTGCATCACTTAAACAGTATGAGTATATGAATGAGTGTATGAGACAGTCATTGGGTGTACTAATTTTTGTAAGTTTAACAAACTTAAACTATCAAGTTTTACCTCAGACCACAGTGCTGCCCTGTTGGGATTGGCTCAAAACTCAAGACAAGTCTGTGCTTGTCTGTTGGCGGTTAGAGAAAGTTGCGCCATTTTCTAATTTACACAGAGCAATCTAAGATCTTTGCAATTTGCATGCCTGCATTTTTCTGTTTTTAGCAAGGTTGAAACTGAAAGTTAGAAACCTGGAACATTTCTAGTTTGAAATGTGTACATTTGAATGTGTGTAAATTTAACGTTGACTTATATTTACATTTTTAGTGTTGGACAATTACGACAATTGTGATTTTTGAGTGTCTCTCTCTACTTGTGTCTTTAAATTTCTTGTATTTTTTGTGTTACATACATCATCGGCCATAATTTGAGGTTTATTAGTGTTATAAGTAACTCTGCCTAAATAACAAAATATAAGTTATTTCATATTTTTCAGGTGTACTTAAATCTTAAAGAAGAGTTCTTTGGTGTTCTTGATGGTTTGTGTCCAAGCTTGATGGAAATCAACGGTGGGTTGATGATGGTTTGTGTAAATGGAAATCAACGGTGGGTTGATATTTCTATTTTTTTAAATTTTTAATTTTTATCTCTTTTTTGTTATGATATTGATGGTTAGTTCATACATATTACAAAAACGTATTCACCCACCATCCCTTGTGGTACTTCTCTATATGAACAAATAAACTGGTAAAGATATATTTCTTGTGTTATATCTCTTTGCAGAGCACTAAGCCAACAGCCATTAGATGCATTGTCCTGAGAGGACTTCCAGTCATTCTTGAGGGTGATGCATCTATATTCTTTAAGAGCAGTGAGTAAAGTTTTTTGATTGGTGTTTGACTCAGTTTTTCCATTCTCCTATGTTTTGTTTATTTGGGATGATGAGTTATGATGATTAGCATTTATGAAGATGTTCATTACACTTAAGTTGATTTTAACTTGATAATGTGCTTTCACTATTAGCAAGAGGAAATTAATTACTGCATTTAATATTGCAAATTATACAAAAATTCAAAGGGCTTGTATAGTGACTTGATTTCTGCAAAAACAAAAAACCTAAACCACTGACGGGCTGCTGCTGGAACTTCCAGTCGACGCATAGCTCCACTGAATAAATCCAAACATCTCCAATGTATTTCTAATATTGCCTTTATTGATCTACACACACTTACCCCAATAATTCCCTATTTCTCTATCACATATCACATTTGTCCAAAACACTACCTGTCAAAACATGGGATCTACACCATGAGAGACACCTAGACATGAACACACAAAAAATGCTTGTAATAGCTTGTTTACACAACATTATCTAAAATAAAACCACTGTGAATTATGAAAATCATAATGTTTATGAAGACCACACAGCTGTTTGTAGACAAATTGCTGTTAACCTGAATATGCTCCTTTCGTCTTGTTTCTAACACTATAGAATTTTAATGAGGGAGACTCCCTCATAGACATTCCCGTGAGTATCCTCTGCTATGAGGACACCAGCACTGCAAGCACAGCATCGCCACAACAAACCTCCTCAAGAGTGGGGATCATCCTAGAAGGCAGCCTTGTAATGGAAGCACTCACCAACGTACCTCAGGCAATTGTTGGCAAAGACACATTTTGATAATTTTATTAAAACAAGGTCTTACTGTTATTTTGGATTTGCATCTGGTATTTCACACAGCATCATTGTTAATACATATTTGTTGCTTTGTTGTGTATCTAAATAAAATAAATGAAATGTACGGCATTGTGTGGTCATTGAAAAAAGAATAATTTAATTTGAATTTTCTTTTTCCAAATATTTAAAAATTTTATATATTCGTATTTTTAATAAAACTAGAATTTTAAGTGTATTTGACTTATAATATTAAGTTTTGACTATTGTACTTTTAAGTAGACTCCACTATACATTTCTATTGTGATTACTTAAACCATTTAAGTGTATGTAACTTGCACATTTAAGTTGACTATACTTTAACAAATTAATTTTCTCTACTGTCAATAACTTAAACCATTTGAGGCAATCACTTGACAAAAATGGTTTAAGTAAAATCAACTTATCTGGGTTTACAGTGACATGTTGTTCAAGTCAGCGGTTAGCCAAAAACTAAAGGAAGAATGGAGAAGGAGGGAGAGAGGCATTCTCTCCACAGCTGTAAGTATTGCCATTGTAAACTCTGTGCAAAAAGCTTTCAACCACAAACAATTCTGCATCTCATTTATTGAATCGTCTGCTAAAGCAGCACAGCACTGTGAAACTTAGTCTGTAGAAAGTAACTCCGGTTGCTACTGCCAGTGATGCACCACTCGGCAGGAGAGAGTGGCGCTAAGCAACGTTTTGTGTTTTGTAAAAGCACTGAATACTTCTCTTATAAATGCATGTGCAAAACAGTAACGTTAGTTCTAAAGTCAGGAGAGACTTGCATTATTTTTTTATTTCAGCCATTAAGAAACAAACATACCATAGGCTATTCCTTGCTGTTGTTATGAATATAATATTAGTTAAAAAATAGGGAGAGACTTGCTTTGTGTTTTATTATTTTTAAATATATCTGTATCCTATTGTACTATTGTACTAATACTACTACTGTACAGCATCATCTGGTCTGAGAGGCTGCTGTGTTTTCCGTTCGGCTGACTGTTGACTCCTCAGATTACAGTTTTTCTCAATTGCTAAAACACTAAACCCTATTGTCTGAACCAAATGCTCAGTTGCCTGAACCCACTGATTGAATCAATCACTCTTTTGGCAAAACCATAAGCACTTTTCACCAGTTTAGACACAACTCGCCAACACATTTTCATTGTGATGCACCCATGCTGCATAATGGTGAGCACAGGTGACAAAAGTCAAACACAATTAAAGCACAGGTGTCACCACTTGAACACAACAACTCAAAATTGATCACACTTGTGGCTAATGATGTGAGGGAACACATACAGTAAGCCAGTTCAGAGAGCACTGGTTTGTGATGCCCTACAATGGATAGAAATCTGAGAGGAAGAGTTCGTGTGAGAGGAGGTCGAGGTGGTCGAGGTGGTCAGCGAAGACAAAGAACAGTAATATCTGATGAAATGTATCACAGAGCTATTGTGATTGACCATGTTCTTGTCCATGGTATGAGCATGAGGGAGGCTGGACAAAGGGTACAACCAAACATCAGTAGATTCACTGTGTCCACCATAATCCGAAGATTTAGAGAAGAGAACAGGTAATTACCTTTTTTTGACATTATAGTACAGTATGTAAATGTTGACAGCAATTACTGTATGACATACTATATACTGTACCACAGTATACTGTAAGTAAGTATATGTTTCAGTACATCACTGTACCAATGTACTGTAGTATTGTAATGGAGGGTTGGTCGAACTGTTTGTAGGCCTAGTATTCCATGTATATTTTTTGTAACTCCATGTTCTCTTTTTGTAGAATTGAAAGACTGCCACATGGGGGTGGGAGGACAGGTATGTTCTCCCCACACCAAGAGACCCTAATTGTTGATAGGGTCCGTGAGAACAATGCCATTAAACTGAGTGAAATTCAGCAGAAGATCATTGAGGACCATGTAAATTTTGAGGGTATCAACAGTGTCAGCCTCTCTACTGTTGATCGTGTCCTCAAGCGCAACAGACTGCGCATGAAACAGCTATACAGAGTGCCCTTTGATCGCAACTCAGACAGAGTCAAAGAGCAAAGATTCCAGTATGTACAGGTTGGCATATATCCAGACACATTCAATGTTGATTACTCTAAGTAGTGATTTACTATAGTGGCCTAAATCACTTTTTCCGTATCACTTACAAAACTATATCTATTTCTACAGAGGGTTTTTCAACTGGATGCAATGGAAAGACCCCATGAATACATCTACATGGATGAAGCTGGGTTTAATCTCACCAAAAGGAGAAGGACAGGCCGTAATGTGATTGGCCATCGGGCCGTTGTTGGTGTTCCTGGGCAGCGTGGTGGCAATGTCACATATGTGCTGCCATCAGCAATCATGGGGTTATCCACCATCATGCCAACCTGGGGCCCTGCAACACTCACCAGCTCCTCATTTCCCTCACAGTCAATCAGATGTGAGTTTTCACAGAGGACTCTGTGAGTTTTCACAGAGGACTCCAGGTTAGAGAGTGGTTCAATATGAACCAAGGTTTTATCAATCTTTGCCTTCCACCGTACTCCCCTTTCCTAAACCCCATTGAGGAATTCTTCTCCTCATGGCGGTGGAAGGTATATGAATGCCAACTTTACACCAGGGTAAATCTCCTGCAAGCCATGGGACTTGCCTGTGGTGACATAGGTGTGGAGGCATGCCAAGCCTGGATACGGCATGCCAGGGGTTTTTCCCCCCCGTTGCCTGGCCAGACAAAATGTGGCCTGTGATGTGCATGAAGTCCTGTGGCATGACCCAGTACCGAGACATGATGCTGTGGCTGAGTAATGCACTTATTTGTATTTTTTTGTACTTTATTTTTACATGGGCTTACTCTACACAAGTGGCAAACGCATAAGATTTCTGTTTGTTTTTACAAGTGCTACGTATAAATGCACAAGATTTCTGTTTTGTCTTTTTGTACAAGTGCTAAATGCACAGGTTTTTTTTGTTTTGCAACATGCATTTAGGCCTAGACTGCCGGGGGATTTCCCATGATGCACTGAGCTCCTCTCTCCTCTACTTTCTCTCCCTCTGTATGCAACCTCATCCCATTATTGCATGTTACTAACACAACTTCTCCCCTTTCTGGTAGTCTTGTGTTTTCTCGTCTCTCTCCTCTCTCCTATCACTTCCTGCAGGTTTTCTGGCTCTGGAGCTGTGGAGTCTGGATCTGTGGCTGCGGGTCACCTGCTGCCCCCGTGTTCCTGCTCGACACCCTCTGCTACCACAACTATTGTTACTAGTCCTATTATTATTATTGTTATTATAATCATTAACATTACAATTGTTATCATTAATACTACTATAAATATCTATACCATTTTTCATTTAGTCTATAGCAACATTACCTTTACTGTCTGTACCTCTGTGTGTATATTGTGTAGGCTGCCTTCCTCCCCTCTCTCTCCTTCCATCCCTCTCTTTTTCTCTCTGTTCCTTTCTTGCCCTCTCCCTCTCTCTCTCTCTCTCTCACTCCTTCACCCCAACCGGTCGAGGCAGATGGCCGCCCACCCTGAGCCATGGTTCTGCTCGAGGTTTCTGCCTCTTAAAAGGAAGTTTTTCCTTGCCTCTGTCGCCTAGTGCTTGCTCTTGGTGGAAATTGTTGGGTTTCTGTAAATAGCATCATAGAGTATGGTCTAGACCTGCTCTTTTATGAAAAATGCTGTGAGATAACTGTTGTTGTGATTTGGCGCTATATAAATAAAATTTAATTGAACTGAAACATGGCAGCGTGCAGATAAACAAACATTTCATTAAAACAATCCGCCAATTAACAAATACTATTGCTCTGGAGGACATTGAAGGTTACATTGACCAGTGTTTTCACGAGTGGTCATAGGAAAATCAAAAAGAAACCGCACTGAAGACTCACCTGGAGCGGTCTCCTCACAATGCGCAGATTTTACAGTGATCCATGATTCAATAGACAAGAAATTGTCTAGCTTTGATGCCCGATTATTTACATACGTAACCCGTGACGTTCCCCTTCGAGGGAACTCGAACTGCGTTGGTGACGACACTATGGGAACGAGAATACCCACTATTCCACGCCGAAGCCTCCGCCTGCCCCCCAGCGTGCAGTAACCCGTAGGCACGACTAGGAGGAGAGCGCACGGGTGCCGGGTGCAGAAGGAAGGTCCAGACTGTTAAATCGGATGAAAGTGTGAGGAGTGGCTCAGCCAGCTGCCTCACACAAATCCTGGAGCGAAGCCCCTGCCTCGAGTAGAGTGCGCCCTTACGGCCATAGGTGAAGGTAACCCGCGCACCTAATAGGCCAGTGAAATAGTCTGAACGATCCAGTTGCTGATGGTGTGTTTAGAAGCGGGGAGCCCAGCCTTGAGGGACCCGAAACACACCAGCAACAGGTCTGCTTTCCTCCACCGGGAGGACCTCAGAGTGAAAATACTCAGCGCTCTGACCGGGCAGAGCAGATGAAGTCTCCCGTCCTCCGCCGTCACATGAGGTGGGGGATGAAACGCCTGCAGCACCATAGACTCTGCCAAACTGGACGGAACCTTAGGGACATAGCCCGGACAGGGGTGCAGGATGGCCCTGACCCTCCCCGGGGGGAAACTCCAGGCTTTTGAGGAGAAACCGAAAGTGCCTGGAGATCCCCCACCCTCCTCAGAGAGGTGATAGTGAGGAGAAAGGCCATCTTAAGGGTCAGGTGATTGGCCTCAGCCAACTCCAGGGGTTCGAAGGGGGCCTCACCCAACCCTTCGAGAACCACTGCCAGGCTCCATTGGAGGAAGCGCACGACCAGTGGAAGCCTCCCCAGAGGAACATCCCTCAGAGGGGCGTGGAACGCTGCCATGGCAGCCTCATACACCTTGAGTGTGGATGGGGAAAGGCCAGCAGAGAAATGGTCCTGGAGGAACTCCAGTACCATAGTCACCGGGCAGGTAACTGGGTCCACCACCCGTTCTCTACACCAGGTGGTAAACACATTCCACTTTAGGCCGTACGTCTTTCTAGTGGACGGGGCTCTAGAGCTGAGCTGCGTCTCGACTGCTCCTGGCGTCCTGCCGCCTCTAGGAACTGCACCCCCTCAGGGGCCAGACCCATAGCTGCTACAGGAC